TGCACCACTTGACCACTTGCCAACCTTCTAGAAGGACTGCAGCTAGCCTTCTAGTCTATAGGTCTACGGATCGAATCCTGGCTACCTATAGACCTACGACAGACCTACCTACCACTGGCGGTTCTACAGGTCGCAGGTTCAACTCTTCGAGTTGACGCTGGTATTGTACACAGGTAAGTTGGGAAACTCGGGATCGAGCCCTGGGATCTACCTCAGCTACCACGAATTGGTGAATACCGTTTCAGCTGTTGTCATTCTGGGCTTTCAGTGTTGTCCATGGCGCATGGTACGTGGCCTGCAGCCTGTGGTATCGGATCGCGGGGTTGTATGTGCCTAACTGATACAGAAAATGTACACAGGAGCGAATAGTTGAAAGCTGCACGTATAAGTTGTTCAAAGTTTTTGGGTGGCGCATGGTATGTGGCCTGTTGCGGGGTTGTGTGCCCAACTGTGTATAGAAAACGTCTTTTTTTTCTTTTTCTTTTTCTCTTAAACCGGTCGCCTCCGCTCGTGGAGGTGATATGGTGATATGAGCAGCCGCCACTAGTAGGCACCCTGGTTGCTCCATCTATTGGTGGGAAGGTGCCCCTGGTGGAATTGAGTCCGGCGTCCCTTTACAGAATTAACAGAATGTTGCAATCGGGAAGGGGAACAGGGGGTTTGGATACCGAATGTGCAATGGAAACGGGGGAAGGGAGGGGAGGGAGGGAATAGGGAAAAGTTTGAAAGGGACTACTACCTCCAGTTTCATGACTGGACTAGAGTTGACCCCTCCGTCCCGTTGCAGCCTCTCTCAGACTTTCCCTATCTCTTCCCACCGCCTGCAAACTCAATTGTGGAGACTCATTGGTAGGCAGGTGCTTAAAAATGGTCAACTGTGGATGTAGGATGATAATATTTTTTAATGGTCTGATTTCCTGCTCAGTTATTACGGTAACCCTGGATTCCAAAGTAATAAATGGTAGGTGGAGGGAGGAACTAGTGTGTAGCAGCAGGGTGAAGAGGTTCCCCCCTCTCTCCAATATCCTTCTCAGTCAATCCCCTAGATCCCAGGGTAATCAATGCTGGCAGGAACCTCCCACAATCCTGTTTTGATATACTCCAAATTCAGTCTGTATATGGGACGCTGGACCCGTTTTCCAGCAGGTGATGCTCCCCGCCAATGGATGGAGCCGCTCCCCAGGTGCTAGTGGTGTCTTCTCTTATCAGCACCACTAACACTGGCGGGGGCGTTTACTTGAAAAAAAAAAAAGAAAAAAAAAAGACAAGAATTGGGATCCCTCCAGCATTGAGGGATTGACTGAGGGTGAGGTCCCACTGGCAAAGAGGATTGGATTGAATGCCTGAATCAGGACGTGTTTGTGGAGAGGTGCAGAAAATCGAGATTGAACTGCTTTTTTCTGAATCTCTCCTCTAAAACCATCCAGATTCAGGCGCGCTATCCAATCCTCTTTGCTTGTGGGCGATGGCCCTGAACAGGCTGCTGTTCGTCTCTTCCGCCCTCCCCGAAATGAGAGCCTGAGTGCTGTTTGCCTCTTCAGCTACCCTGCGTGGGACCACCAGATTGTTGTAGAGCTCCAGCAATGAACACTCCTTGTCTGCAAGCCTGGTGCTTCTTTCTTGTGGCTCCTGCTGCCCGGCAGGGGGGCGAGCATCACCCTCCCAGCGCGCACCAGGAGGAAACTCAGCCACACCTGCCCCTTGTTGCTGTGTGAAGTACAGCCTCCCGGGGGGGGGGCTTTATATGATTGCCTCCTCAGAGAAAAGGCCAGCAACCCCGGACTGCCTCTGCCAGGGAAAGGGCATGGGGTGGGAAAGGGTCGGGGAAGTCTGAGGGGGGGGAGCAGTGCGAGGGAGGGGTCAACATGATTCAAATCCTTAAACTTCAGATGATAATCCCTCATTTCTTCTCTATCCTGGTTGTTGTCTGATCTGTCCCCACTCCATCTCACCTCTGCTACTGTGGCATACTGCGCAGCCACACGGGCCTGCAGGGCCCGACCAGCGTTCGCAGCCTAAAAGCCTGAAAACAAGGGCTTACAGGCCCTGTGTCGTTTCAGCCTGAAAGCCTGAAAACGAGGGCCTGCAGGCCCTATGTCGTTTCAGCCTAAAACAGGGCCTTGCAGGACCGGAGTCTTTTCCGCCTGAAACGGAGGGCCACTTTCGGGCCCTCATAAGATCGACCTGCCCTGACATTCAGGCACCAAACCAGGGTTTTAGGAACAGGCTATTTTTGGCCTGTTCCCCCCACAGCCTCAGCAGCAGCTGCAGTGCCAGGCCCTGGCTCGTTTTGGCATTGGCAAGAGCAGCCTCCTGGACTGCCCCGCCCTGCAACTGCAGGCAGTCGGAGGCAGTCAGGAGGCAGGCCGAGGTAGTACATAGGGAGTTCCCATGCACTTCACGGGGAGGCAGAAGGCAGGAGTAGTCTTCAGGATTCGGCAGCAGCACCCTGGAGGAGCGCTGCAGGAGTAGCTTTAGCGCTAGTAGTAGTCTTCAACGCGGCTGGGTGCTAGTAGTTGTAGTGGTAGTCTTCAACGCTGGGCGCTGGTAGGAGTAGAGTAGCGTTGGAGAGAGAGATGACTGGCGGAGGCCAGGGAGACTTACCTGTGGCGCCATAGCTCCAGCTTCATCTTCGAGGTACCTGCATCAAGGCGCCAACTTCACAGGTTAGTACCGGACTGAGAGAGAGAGAGATTCTTCTTCTTCTTCCTCTTCTTTAAGTCCACCATCTCTTCTTCACACTCTCGCTACCTGACTTCGCAGTATCTGCGGACTACCAGAGAGAGAGAGTTGTGACTTTGGGACTTGACGACATTGGGATTCAGAAATTTGACGAGGGATTATTTGGGGCCTGTGCCGAAGACTTGGTGTTGACGACATTCCCATCTTCCCCTCTTCTTCGTCAAACCCCCCTCTTCTTCGTCTGAGTATGGTTGGGGACTGGCACATTCTTCCTGTGTGAGCGCCAGGCCCCTTCACACCATGGAATGATGATGATGTATGTTTGGGGCTGCATTGCAACATTGATTGTTCGGATCATTGGTATCTAAATCTTCCGCTACGCTATCTTGTACTTTGTGAGAGAGGTCGGTTCTTGTTCTGGTCTGCACCTTCACGGCATGCGACAGTTTGGTATGGGAGCAGACCTCTCAATCAGAGGACCCGCTCAATCAAGTAGCCAGCTTGCTTGATCTATTGATTGTTTTTTAAGTAAATCAAGTAGGACTTCGTCAAATCTCAGATTTTTTTTTTTTCTTCTTTCTCGCAACAAATATCTGAAAATTTCTGATAATAGCATTTCGTTTTATCTGAAAATTTCTGATATTAGCATTTCGTTTTCACGCAACAAATATCTGAAAATTTCTGAAAGTAGCATTTCGTTTCTCTGATATTAGCATCCGAAATTTCTGATATTCGCATACATAGCCAAAAAATTCTGATGTTAGCATTTCGTTTTCTAGGCATATTAGGATAACAAAAGAGGTGGTCATATTCTCGGAAAGCGGATTTATTCTTTTCTGAAAATCGAATCTCCATTCTATCTCGCAAATGTTTTTTTGAAAACCGAAATCTTGCGAAGCCTATCAGCATTTCGTTTTTAGGCATATTAGGAGATTGTCATGTTCTCAGAAACTGGATTTCGTTATTTTCTGAAAATCGCATCTCTAGATTCTCTACTCTATTTCGCACAAGTTTTTTTTTCCAAGATCACATAAAAAGCTGACACTTTGCGGAACCTTGCCTAGATCTCGTTCGTAGTACTCCTCTGAGATGCCTCACTCATAGCAGATCGACAGATATACAAAATAAAAAAAAAGGGCGGGGGGTGATCCTCTTCTTTTATTTTTTTATTTTATTTTATCCTGTTGATTACGGCCGGGAGGAAAGTATAGCCTGGTTGGTTACCTACCTGCGTTTTCCCTCCCACCCAACCCTTTGCCTGCATTCCTAGTTTGGTACGGTGCCACATCAGCAACAGTGCCATGTCAGCAACTGTGCCATGGCAGCAGTGCCACGTCAGCAACAGTGCCACGTCAGCAGTACCACGTCAGCAACAGTCCCCGCCACCATGACGGTCTCAGTTCTGGGCATGCCAGGCCAACTGGCCAATGAGTCCATTGCCGAGTACCGACAGCRGTTCCARGCTCAGCTCGCACTGATCGAGGCTGAGGAACAACGTCAGGCGGCAGCAGCTGAAAAGCAGCGACTTCAGGCCGAAGCCGACGCAGATACCCAAGCACACCGCAAGGCGGCCCAGGATCTGCTACGGCAGCACGAAGCTACCAGCATCGAAAAGGTCAAGTTCTGGCATTTTGAACCATCCAAGCAGCACGAAGACACAACACCGGAAGAGCAGCACAAGGAGTTCCTTGCCAAACTCGTGACCCGGTTGGTTTACACTTGTAACGACCTGCAGTCCGAGCTGGCAAATCTCCGACGGGCACTTGATTCCCGTGTACACGACTTGGAGCAAGTTGCACCAAGACCAGATGCTGGCGAGTCCAGCAGTGCACCCTCTACCCGCCAATTGGAGGAACGAGTTGACCACGTAGTCGCAATGCTCGATGACATCAGCACCTTCGCTGCACCAGCCACCATCAGCAAGCAGCTGGACACCTTGAAGACCGAGGTTCAGCAACTGTACCAGCTGCCCAACAAGGATGGCAATACCAATGTGCATCACTACAAGATGTCGACATTCCGCATCGAAAAGTTCGATGATTATACGCATCACGACCCGGTCCCCTGGTGGGAGGGCTTTACGACGGAACTTCGGATTCTTTTTGTCCCCGAGCACTCGCACATCGGCGCGCTGTTCCGCCACTCAAAGGGCGGATGCCAGATCTGGCTCAGCCACCTGGCAACCATCCTTGACGTCCAAATCGCCGATCTACATGAGAAGATCTCTTGGGAAGAGTTGACAAGGCTATGGAAGAAGCGGTTCATCGTGGACGACGCCCAGGCGCTCGCCATCAACCGCCTCTTCAGCATGGCCCAAGGCAACACGTCGACATGCGACTGGATCACGGAATGGCAAAAGATCGCGGCAACGCCTGATCTCAAGTTTCCATTTTCGCATCTGCGTTGGGAGTTCTACAACCGGTCATGTGCCGCCTTGAGCCGTGCACTTGGTGATAGGAAGCAATACACGACCTTCGCCGAAATCATCGACAAGGCAAGGGAGATCATCAAGACCAATAGGGCGGCTGCACACGAGAAGTCAGCGTGGTAGTCAACCTATGTGGAGAAAGGAAAATTTGGTCCACGTTCGCAGCATGTCGATGCAGTCCAGCCGAACAACATTGTGGAAGACCCGACATCCACCCAAGCATCACATGAGGGAGATCAGGTGGCCGTTGTCCAACCGCGAAGCAACAACAACTCGGGAGGAAGAAGGAAGGCGAAAACCGCATCGTCGTCCGGAAACGGACAGCCAGCACCATGGGTCAAGTTTCACTTGACCGAGGCCGAATACATGTGGCGCGGCCAGTATGGCTGCTGCTATTGGTGCAACAGCACCAAGCACAAGACCTCCCAATACCCGGATCAAGGCAAGGAGGATGCTCGACCTCGCATCAACTCGGGAAACTGAGTTGCGCGGGAGGTGAGGCAACTCCACCTCTCACTCCGCCAGATTCGGCCGCCTTGCTAGCGGCCTCCTACACATCTGGGGAGGATGCGAATGTCGCAAGTCCTCGGTTCACTTACGAGGATTATGTTGTCCACTTGGTCCCACCATTGGACCAACCACTCCACGTGCAACAATCCACCGCATGCACGATTTCACTGCCATCGGCAACCGATTCGGCAGCTTCACCGCCATCTATCGCCGGGGATTCGACGACGTGGTCAAGACTTGAAGAGCTCGGCCCATTGACGTTTGCGGACTTCCAATGGATGGCCCTTCCCCCGTTCGGTCGATTGCCGAAACCGCATTGCAACATGCTCATGGCACAATTGCGGGATTACTTGCGCACTGCAGTACCAACTCCGTTGATGGACGCTGGAGTAGAGATTGCCGACCTTCACGACTACATTGCGAAGATCGACCGCGAGTTCAAGACACAACGGTACGACGACATCGACGCGCCATTGTTGTACATACGCATTCAGATCGGAGAGGCGACTTGTAGCGCTTTGATCGATTGCGGAGCTACTCGCAACTATATGAGCCAAGACTTTATGGTACGCGCTGACCTTGGGCCACATGTTCGGAGGAAGTCGCAGCCCATGCAAGTCACTTTGGCCGACGGTCACACGCACAAGTCAATCGACCGGTGCATTAATGTCGTCCCCGTGTACTTTGCCCCGCATGCAAGCGAGGCCGTGTCCTTCGACATTTTTGGACACCAAGTTCGACATGATCTTGGGCATGTCATGGCTGCAAAGCGAGGATCACCCACTTCTAGCGCCGCACTCTTCACGTTCGTGACCGGAACGGAGTACTAGTCCCATGCATGGCGCCTCCTCCTCACCCTTCGATCAACTGCCACGTGGTGTCCGCCGCAAGCATTCGAGCTTTCATCATCAGGGATGACATCGAGGAGATGGGGGGGTGTTTTCTCCATGCCCTCCCGCCCCATGACATTCCATCGACGGACTCATCACCGGACCCACGCATCACTGAGCTTCTCGACGCCTATGGCGACGTATTCGAAGCCCCGCACAGAGTAGTACCGAATCGGCCAATCCGCCACGAGATAATTCTCGAGGCCGGGGCCGTACCTCCGCGTGGTTGCTTCTACCCCATGAGCGAGGAAGAGTTAAGCATGCTACTGACACAACTCGACGACCTTCTCGAGAAAGGTTGGATTCGGTCTAGCTCTTCGCCATACGGTACCCCCGTTCTCTTCGTCCGGAAGAAGAACAAGGATTTGAGGTTGTGCATCGATTATCGCAACCTCAACACGCAAACCGTCAAGAACACCGACCCTCTTTCGCGCATCGACGACCTCCTCAAACGGCTGGGCGGCGCCAAGTTTTTCTCCAAGGTTGACCTGAAATCGGGATATCACCAACTCGAGATCCGTCAAGAAGACCGCTACAAGACCGCGTTTAAGATGCGATATGGGCATTTCGAATGGCTGGTTATGTCGTTTGGCCTTACGAATGCCCCTGCCACATTCCAAGCGGCTATGACAACGGAGTTTCGACACATGCTGGATATATTTATACTCATCTACCTCGACAACATCTTGGTGTACAACCGGATTTTGGACGAGCATGTGGAGCACCTGCGCACCGTTTTGGAGCGGCTACGACAAGCCAAGTACAAAGCCAACCACGACAAATGCGAATTCGCGCGGCAAAAGTTGGGGTACTTGGGACATTATGTGACGCCGCAAGGCATCCGTTCGCTTGCGGATAAGATCGAGGTCATCCGCGTATGACCCGAGCCCACCAACACTACGGACGTTTGCTCATTCATGGGGTTTGCGGGCTACTATCAACGCTTCATCACCGGGTACTCAAAGATTGCCGCACCAATGACGAGATTACGATCGTCAAAGGTATCATTCGTATTCGATGACGTCGCACACCCGTCATTCCAAACACTCAAGACGGCCATGCTCATGGCACCCGTCCTTAGCATCTACAACCTCTCCCTGCCAACGAGAGTGACAACTGACGCTCCCGACTATTGCATTGGGGCAGTCTTGGAACAACACGACGGCGACGACTGACACCCCGTAAAGTATTTCAGCCACAAAGTGTCTCTCATCAATTTACTTGATGATGCAAGGAAGAAGGAGCTGCTCGCATTCGTGATGGCTCTGAAGCGGTGGTGGCACTTCCTCCTTGGGCGTCGTAGGTTCACATGGGTATCGGACAACAACCCATTGACCTACTACAAGACGAAGGATACGGTGAGCAGCACGATCGGATGATGGATATACTTCATCGACCAATTTGACTTCACACGGAAACATCTCGTCGTCCTCTCCAATCGCGCAGCAGACGCTATGTATCCCCAGCGGCCGCGGTCACCGCGGGCATGACCACGGCCCTCTGCGGGCGCGGTCGAAATCTGCACGCTGCGGCCAAGGGGAGGGGGGTCCTGCCGATGGGGGTCGGGATTCCGACGGCGCGACCAGAACCCCACTCCCCCCCATTGAAAAAAAAAAAATTGAAAAATGGGGGGGGGGGGGGGG